GTGTGGGTAGCAGTTAGGACATGTAACCACATCTTTACTAAACCTGAACAACAGATCTCTTGAATGACAAACACCACATCCTGTACCATTAGCTGAACATTTCTAAATAAAAATATTACAAGATAACACGTTACTAGTCACATGTACATCATGCATGGCTACCAATAGGAGGGGACAAGGGGAATTAGCACTAGGCCCCCAAATAAAGGGGCCCCCTGTCTCAGGTTTATAGTAAACTCTTGGGGCTTGGGGGCCTAATACAAACTTTAAAATACACCTTTAAATATTGATGATATACATGTTATTAAATGTAGACAAAAGCTTCAAAAGATGTACATGTACTTAATATAAAATCATATCATCATCAGGACCCCATCAGAGTTACTGTCCTAGGGCCCATGCACATACATATATACAGCCTATTTGGAGCCTGTGTACATGTACATGTATATACTGTGTTGTACCTACCAGTGATGTGACTTACATGTAGGAATATTTAATGAAGTACTTAAAGTTGTGTGAGGAGATTACCCTCTTGAACAGTCTCACCAAATTAAACTAGAAAAGATGAGACAACAAAAACTGTATAATAAGACTAGGGGCTACATACATGTACATTAAGTAAATATAATCCTAAATAAAGTATAGGAGGTACCTCTAATAAAAGGACAGAATGGCCGTAACTTGAAAAATTAAAGTCGGAATCAGCTCAAACTTAATTCCTACAAAGCATAAGGACATCAATATTGTAATAAAATTGGGGTAATTTTGGTTTGACCCATTTTGAACAAAATATGGACTATATATAACCTTGGGGTACAATTTTCAGAATTTCGACATTTTCTCAAAATGGCCGTAACTTAAAAAATAAAGTTGGAATCAGCTCAAATGTTCTACACAGCATACATGTAATGTGTACATTATAAGTACATGTACATCAATACGTATTAGAAAATGTAATAATAAGTAGGAGTGATTTGAAACAATTTTTTGGATAGAACACAAGGCCTTGTGTATTTTTCAGAAATTTGGCTTTTTCTTAAAATGGCTGTAGCTTGAAAAATTTCAATCAGAATCATGTCAAACTTTCTACATGGCATAAGAACAGCAATGTGTATCATAAATGTAAACAAAATTTAAGGTGATTTCATTGCCATTTTTTGGAAAAAACCCAAGATTTTAGCCTTGAAAATAGTATTAGAAAGCATAACAAATTCAGTATGTACAGGTACACAATATAAATGGCCACACCACTATAAAATCATGACTATTATTAACCTGATCTACATCATACCTTCATTGTTGAAGAGAAGGTCTCACTCCTTGAGTCAGTAGTGGCCTCCTTCTTAAGTAACTCATCATTTAAGCTGTTTATAAACTAAATGGATTTATCCTGTGAATGTATACAAAAATTACAAATACAATTAAAAATTGATGAATATATTGATATGTAGTCATTCCTAACTCTCTCAGTAAAAAAATTTGAACACAAACCAAACAGGCTGAAAATAACAATAATAATAGTTAATTAACTAATGATTATGTTAATAATAATTGACTAAACGTAATGATAATATAAAGGAACTGTTATTTTTCCTTCAAATACATGCGTACATACAGGTACATGTA